TTTCAAATCTTAAGGATCCTTTATTTTGTGCTCCAACAAGCCCCCTCACTTCCCAACCTCAGTACTCAACAAAGGGCAACCCAACTGTCTTGTTTTTGTTACCCCAGCACCTGTCATGTTTAACAGTAGTACAACAAATGTTCTTTAATCAGTTGAAAGCAGATATTAAGTCATGTTCATCTCCATTTCATAGGAGTCATAAAACATGACAAGCTCTTCTAATACTTCATCTTAGAGATGAAGAAACCAAGGTACAGAGAGGAAAATTAAGTTGTGCTGGGTTCTAAAACAGGTAAACGCCAACAGAATATATAGAACTTGCGACTCCTCAGACAGAAGCTATTTGTACTCTACCACGCTGGTCCCACTTAAATTCTAGGTCCTATTGACACAGCTGACCCTGTTGGCCCTACTGACACAACTCAAACTGGGCCAACTAAAATGTTCAGAGTATATCCGGGTGCGTTGGCTCACGCCTGTAATCCCAACACTTTGGGAGGTCGAGGCGGGCAGGCCACTTAAGGTTAGGAGTTGGAGATCAGCCTGGCCAACATGGCGAAACCCCGTCTCTACAAAAATAAATAAATAAATAAATAAAATAAATAAATAAAAATTAGCCGGGTGTGGTGATGCATGCCTGTAATGAGGCAGGGGAATCTCTTGAACCCAGGAGGTGGAGATTGCAGTGAGCCGAGATCGCGCCACTGTACTCCAGCCTGGGCGACAGAACAAGACTCCGTCTCAAAAGTAGTAATAAATAAAAGACTAAGGAGTTCAGAGTTAGGAAATTCAATTTGACTTGCCCCTCCTCTCCAGAATCTATAAGGAAACTAGTTCCTGGGACAGTCTTGAGGTCTTATTATTAAAGCTTCGGCGTCTTCCCAGGAAAGAAGCCAGATGCGTGCAGCCGGACACCCTATTCCAGAAACAAAACTATAAAGGTGGAGGCCAAAATTCCACGCCTACAGACTACACGCTGCAGCCTATTTATCACATTTCTCTCTCAACTTTTCAGTCCTCCCCGCTTCCCGGTTCGCTCAGCCAGTGCACAACCCAGAGCTCCTTCCCCGCTCAGCCCCGAGCTGTTCTCACTGCATGATCTCCTCGCTGACATCCAGGCCGAAAGTTTTCCGTAACTGCTGGGTGCACCAGTGCACCAGAGGCTCCTCGGACACCGCCCCAGCCACCGCCATCTTCCCCAGCCGGAACCAGCTAGGCTGCAAAAGCCCCACGTCCTGCACCGGACTAGTTCCCTTCGCAACACCAACCTCGCTCACGCGGGTTCCGCCAACCTGCACCGCCCCGCGCGGTCGCACCGCCTTCAGTGTCGATCCCGCCCACCCGTGCACCTCCTACTTCTTCCTGCTTCCTTGTCTACTTCCTTGTACCCACCCGAGTCGAGCTCCGTCAGTGCGTGATTTTTGCCAATCGTTAAATGTAGGTCTCGAGGAAAGCCATAGGCAATTCTGCTGAGAAGACAGTGCAAGTGCCTATAAAAACAACAGTTTAGGGGGAAAACAAACCAATACCCGGAAAGCTGAGAGACCAGCTTTTTAATCGTCATGGTTTTATGTAAAATAAAAGCACGTGGAAGGTATTGTAACCGCTGTTAAGTTTTTGCTCTGGTGGTGGTGTTTATTTTTAATACCTCCTGTAGTCGACTACTAGATTCACACCGCTAAAATTTCTATTTCATGTTTTGAGCAAAGTCTTCCGGGAGGGCAAAGACAACTCAGCAAGCTCGAGGGGGAAAAATAGTAAAACAGGAATTGGGATTTGGCTTTGAGGACTTTCCACGTGAGTTCTCAACCAAAAATGGCCATATTTAAGGGCCGTCTGCACTTCCCTACACCGTTAAGACGGGCTGGGGAAAATTTAGCCACACTTTTCTGGAGAGCATAATGTCCCATTCATTTTTGGCTTTTTGTTGCATTTACAGGTTAAAAATTCTTCATTCCTACTAGGCTGTTTAGACTAAGTGATCACATTAAATTGGCAGTTGTTTTACCTTTTTGCTAGTGTTTTCATTGGCGTAAATATCATAATTAAAATCATAAGTGTATTGGCCAGAGCAGGGGCTCATGCCTGTAATCTCAGAGCTTTGGGAGGCCGAGGCGGGAGGATCACTTGAGCCCAGGAATTCCAGACCAGCCTGGGCAACATAAAGAAAATCCCAGTTTCTGCAAAAATGAAAAAAATTAGCCAGGCGTGGTGGCACATGCCTGTGGTTTCAGCTACTTGAAAGGCTGAGGTGGGAGGATCACTTGGGCCAGAAGATCAAGCTTGGAGTGAGCCCTGTCACACCACTGCACTCCAGCCTGGGCAACAGAGTGAGACTTTGTTACAAAAACAAAAAGCGAACCTCATAAATGTATTGATTTACACTGCATTTAGATTGTCATTGATGTCATTAATTTGGAAAGTGTATGATTTTCCAGAGTTTTTTTTTTTTTAAGAAAAAGACAAAATACTCTGTCAATGTTTATTAATTGTGGGTACAAGTTTTGTTTCTTTGTAAAACTCTACTACATTTAATAATAATTATAAGATATCCAAGTCATTTACCTGTTTATTTATTCAGTCTCTGTATTAGGGTTCTCCAGAGAGACAGAACCAATAGGATAGATAAACAGATAGATATAGATACAGATCTATGAAGAGAATTATTAGGGAATTGACTCAGGAAATTATGGAGACTAAGAAGTCCCATAACAGGCTGTCTGCAAGCTGAAGACTCTGGAATGCTGGTAGCTGGCTCAGTCCAAGTGGTGTAATCCTCAAGTCTCAAGGCTGGAGAGCCTGGAGTTCTGATGTCTGAGAGCAAGAGAAGAGTGCCTCAGCTCCAGAAGGGAAGAAATATTTTTTCTCACCTTTTTTGTTCTGGGTCCTCAGTCAATTGGATGGTGCCCACTTACACTGTGAGCAGATCTACCCCACTCAGTCCACTGACTCACATGCCAGTCTCCTTTGGAAATACCCTCAAAGATACCCAGAAATAATGCTTTACAAGTTCTCTAGGTATTTATTTTTTTCTTTTTTTAATTTGAGACAGAGTTTTGCTTTTGTTGCCCAGGCTGGAGTGCAATGGTGGGATCTCAGCTCACCACAACCTCTGTCTCCCTGGTTCAAGCGATTTTCCTGCCTCAGTCTATCAAGTAGCTGGGATTATGGGCATGCACCACCACGCCTGGCTAATTTTGTATTTTTAGTAGAGATGGGGAGTCTCCATGTTGTCCAGGCTGGTCTCGAGCTCCCGACCTCAAGTGATCCTCCCACCTTGACCTCCCAAAATGCTGGGATTACAGGCCCTCTAGGTATTTCTTAATCTGGTCAAGTTGACACCTAAAATTAACCGTAACAGTCTCCATAACTAAAACATTAAGTGGTTTAAGGAAGAAACTATAACTTAAGTCTTTTTTTTTTTTGTATAGTAGAATTTAGTATGTCATACATGTTATAATAAGTACATCCTCCACAATAACATAGGTGGCTGTGTACCGTGGTCCACACCTGTAATCTCAGCATTTTAGGAGGCTGAGGTGGGAGGATTGCTTGAGCTCAGGAGTTTGAGACCAGCCTGGGCAACACTGGGAGACCCTGTCTCTACAAAAAGTTTAAAAATTGGCTAGGTGTGGTAGCAATCACCTGTGGCAACTTACTTGGCACGTGGGTAAGGAGAAAAGATACCAGATTCTCTCTGCAGGAATCTGGAATATGAGTTCAAATTAAGTAATTCAGACCTATGTGGAAGCCACTTAAACTGAAAAGGAAATACTTGGATTTAAACATCACTGTGCTGGCTAGGTACGGTGGCTTACACCTGTAATCCCAGCACTTTGGGAGGCTGAGAAGGGTGGATTACCTGAGGTCAAGAGTTGGAGACCAGCCTGGCCAACATGGTGAAACCCCATCTCTACTAAAAATACAAAACAGCCAGGCGTGCCAGCACCTGCCTGTAATCCCAGCTACTTGGGAGGCTGAAGCAGAATTGCTTGAATCCGGGAGGTGAAGGTTGCAGTAAGCCGAGATCACACCATTGCACTTCAGCCTGGGCAAAGAAGCCTAAGACTCTGTCCCAAAACAAAAACAAAAACAAAAAACCCACTGTGTAATGAGATGGGGCATGAGGACAAAAAACGAAGGAATACCCTGGGGCTTGTGGATTTTTCAGGTTGATTTGGCTGTAATCTTAGACTCCAGGGTTAAGACAAAACTACAGGTAATTGCCAATACATTTTCTATTATTGTGTTAATTTAACTTGTTGCCTAGATTCTTTAAGTCTTTGTTATAGGATGTAGTTGTTGATTCTGTTAAAGTACTGAGTAGCCTAATTTTGTTTTAAGTTCAAGAAATTCATAGGAAAGAATTAATGCTGTGATTATACTCCTAGGGTAGCCTTTCAAGTGAGTATTTAACAGAATACATACCAAGGCAAGTTCATCTGATCCTGTTTTATGTATGGTATTTAGAAAGGGAAAATTACTCCCCAGGGGTATTGTAATTACAAGGTAAGCATAAGGATAGAAAAAAATTTTGACCCTTTATTCTAGAGCTATGCTTTCTGTGTGCCAGGGATGTGCTCTTACCACATTTGGCAGGGTTTTTTTCTTTTCTTTTCTCCCTCCCTCTCTCCCTCCCTCCCTCCCTTTCTTCCTTTCTTCTCCTCCCCCCCGCCTTTCTTTCTTTCTTTCCTTTTTTTTTTCGAGACAGAATCTCACTCTGTCGCCCAGGCTGGAGTGCAGTGGGGTGATTATGGCTCACTGCAACCTCTGCCTTCCAGGCACAAGCAATTTTCCGCCTCCTGGACTCAAGCTATCCTCCCACATCAGTCTCCCGAGTAGCTGGAATTACAGAAACAAACCTCTGCCCTCGGCTAATTTTTGCATATATTTTTTTGTAGAGACGGGTTTCACCATGTTGGCCAGGCTGGTCTCTAACTCCTGGAATCAAGCTATCCTTCCACCTCCGCCTCCCAAAGTGCTGGGATTACAGGCATGAGTCCCTGCGCCCAGCAGATTTAACAGACTATTTAGGAGCTCTGAGACCATTCAGTTCTCAGAAAGACGTTTTACTAGTTTCTTTATGTGTATAAGTATATACAATCCACCCAGTTTTTTGTTTAGTCTCACACCATCTAAAGATATAAAAAAAGCTTTGTAAATAAGTTGTATTAGCTTCCTTTTCCCCATTCCATAGAATTGTTTTAGTATTGATGCTGTACAAAGAGTTCATGCCTTGGGTACGAAAGGAAAGTTCTCAAGTTCTTTCTATTTTGATTTGCATCAAAAAGTCCACTTAATTTCAGGTTTCACCTGCAGGAGTCAATCATTATGGACTTAAGCCTATGGTAACATTTGAAGATAGGTTGTAATTCGCTTTCTTTGCTGGGTTTTCTTTTCTAAGCAGGCTCATTTCTCTAGTTCAGAAACAGCACCCACTTATCAGTTACCCGTGGACAGTCCTGGTGCCGCCCACCTGGGGCGCCTACGAATCCTGGGCCTTTGACTGTTGATGGACGGATCCGCGCTGCAAGAAGTCTTGCTGCTGTCACCATTGGGCATTGGCAATTGGTTCATGGGGAACGACGCGGAACCAATGGGAGAGGTGGCTTAGGAGAGTCCTTGGAGCGCGCGGGAAAGAGACCGATATAAACTGTGGCGGGAGATTAGCTTTTGGGTCCTTGTCCAGTGAAACATCCTCGACTGGGAAGTTAGCTGGTTCTCTCCTCTCCTCTCATCTTGTTTGAACATGGTGCGGACTAAAGCAGACAGTGTTCCAGGCACCTACAGAAAAGGTGAGACTGTCGAATGTGGTACTGGAGGGCGGCAGCGGCGGGGGAGGGGGATCCTCTTGGCAGCCTGGCCACGGGCGACAGACGCCAGAGGTCCCCCTGGGCCTGGTTCACCAAACTCATCCAGCTAGCCACGGAGCGGCTGCCCGGCCCCTTTACCTTCAAGAGGAAGTCGCGGGGGCAGGGTAAGGTTATCCTGCTGTTCTGGATCGCCAGGTTCTCCTCTCCAAGCTGCTGGGTCCAGGACTCGGTGTCCGAATCCTCCTGCCCCTTCTGAACGCCCTCTTTTGCCTCTCTTCACAGTGGTGGCTGCCCGAGCTCCCAGGAAGGTGCTTGGTTCTTCCACTTCTGCCACTAATTCGACATCAGTTTCATCGAGGAAAGGTAAGAAGAGCCCTCCTAAAATTAGGGGATCAGGGTTGGCACCTGTAAGACCCTGACTTGCATGAATTTCTCTTTCCTGAGGTCCTCACACCCGAATTTCTTCCTGCCCTGTGATGTAATGAGAGAGTCTGGACCTTTTGGCGTGCTAGGATAGTGGTGGTGGGGTATCATGGAAGAGAATCTCAAGCCTTAAAGCTAAGGACCGACACAATTCATCTTCAAGCCTATTTTTCTTTTTTTAGACAGGGTCTCACTTTGTCGCTCAGGTTGGAGTGCAGTGGTGTAATCCAACTTTAGCCTCCACTTTAGGGTCTTAAGCAATCCTCCCACCTCAGCTCCCAAGTAGCTGAGACTACAGGTGCCACCAGGCTGGGTTATTTTTCTATTTTTTGTAGAGATTGGGGTCTCACTATGGTGCTTAAGCTGGTTTCAAACTCCTGGGCTCAAATGATCCTTCCACTGTGATTACAGGCGTGAGCCACTGCACCCAGCCTGTCTGTTTTTCTTTTTTGGTTTAGTTTTTTTATTTTTATTTTTTGAGACGGCGTCTCCCACTGTCGCCCAGGCTGGAGTACAATGGCACGATCTCGGTTCACTGCAACCTCCGCCTCCCGGGTTCACATGATTCTCCTGCCTCAGCCTCCCAGGTAGCTGGGATTACAGATACACACCACCACACACGGCTAATTTTTTGTATTTTTAGTAGAGATGGGGATTCACTGTGTTGACCAGACTGGTCTCTAACTCCTGACCTGGTGATCCGCCTGCCTCCGCCTCAGGCGTGAGCAACTGTGCCCAACCATTACTTTTCTTAATGTTGACAGAGGCTGTTTAAGCATTGTTAGAGGCTATTTAAAAGTCCTCTCACTAGATTAAGAGTTTGAACTATCGTTTACAGTGCTGAGTGCTCATCACAATGTGTACTAAACTTTAATGAAAATGTTTGTTTGTTTTTCCTTTCTTCCTTATTCCTTTATTTTTTTTCTTTTTTTTTTTGGAGTGTGATGTCTGTGTATTTTCTCCAACTTTGCAGCTCCTGATACTGCCTTTGGGAGAGTAGGAGTGAAACCCGGCAAGGGAAATAGCTTCACACTGCTCCTTCTGTGTGTGGAGTGGATGAGAAAATGCCCTGCCATCTGGTGTCTCATTCCTTTCAGTAGAAGTTTGGCAGACAGGGAGATTAACACTACAAGATTTAGTTAAGAATGTAAAAGGGAACACTGTTTAGGACTTCATGAGTTTTTAAGTCAGTTGAAATTTCTCCCTGTTCGAAACATTTCATTAGAAAATATTTACTATTTCTATCTCTTCAGGTAAAAGGAAATAGAAGTCGATGAATTCTTTGAGAGTAACTTATGCCCTGTACCACTAGACTAAATTTTTCTTTTCTTTTTTTTTTTTTTTTTTTTTTTTGGCAACAGGGTCTCTCATCCTGTCGCATGGGCTTGAATGCAGTGGTGTAAATCACAGCTTACTGTGATTTCACCCCAGGGCTGAAATGATTCTCCCGCCTCAGGGCCTCAGGTTCCTCCCAAGTAGCTGGGACTGCAAGCACATGCCACCACACGTCCTGCTAATTTTTGCATTTTTTTGTAGAGTCGGGGTTTCACCATGCTGCCCAGGCAGGTCTCGAATTCCTGGGCTGAAGCAATCCTCCCGCCTCAGCCTCCCAATGTGCTGGGATTACAGGTATAAGCCACCATGCCTGTCCTAACTAAATTTCATTAGAGTCACATCCCATTGTTTGGTCCACTGTTGAATCACCAGAGCCAACTGAATAGGTCCTTACTGAACATACATTGAATAAATACATCCTTTAAGGCATTTAACAGATGCCTATTTTTAATCCCAATAATTGAATGCATGAAATTGGTAATATCCTTATTTTAAAGATAAGAAAATTTAGTCTTTGGCTATATAGCTTGATAAAGGCGACACAACTAAATCAGCGGAGTTGGGCTTGAATCTCTTTCCGCTATTTGTTTTCTAGTAGTAAAAGCATTCCTGTAAGGTTCCTTTGGGAAAATTGTGAACCAAAAGATCACTGTCTTTTATAGGCCATTTGTACTTTTTAAAAAATATAAGCTGGGCATGGTGGCTCACGTTTGTAATCCCAGCACTTTGGGAGGCCGAGGCAGGAGGGTTGCCTGAGCCCCAGAGTTCAAGACCAGCCTGGGCAACATGGCAAAACCTCATTGCTATTTTCATAAGTATAAATAAATAGATAACTACAAACATTGTAACTTTCAGAGTCTGTATGGAAACAACTTTTGTAAGCTTTCTTTAACAACTAGAGTTGTTAAAGCAAATGTTTTAGCTTAAAGCAAAAGATATGTAGTAACTGAATAATTTGCTCCTGGCCATTACTTTATAAAGAGGCAAGAATTTTCCATCAATTTCTCCTTATATTACTGTTCAAAAATAACCAGGAATTGGCTGGAAATGGTGGCTCATGCTTGTAATCCCAGCACTTTTGGAGGCCGAGGCGGGCAGATCACAAAGTCAGGGGTTTGAGACCAGCCTGGCCAACACAGTGAAACCCCATTTCTACTAAAAATACAAACATTAGCTGGGTGTGGTGGTGGGCACCTGTAATCCCAGCTACCCAGGAGGCTGAGGCAGGAGAATTGCTTGTACCCAGGTGAGCTGAGTGCAGTGAGCTGAGATCATGTCACTGCACTCCAGCCTGAGTGACAGAGGTAGACTCCATCTCAAAAAACAAACAAAAACAAAACAAAATAAAACATAACAAAAGCCAGGAATTAGATTTCTGTTATGAACTGAAAAGGAGCCAAGTGCTTTGAAAAATGGAATCTACTTTTGTAGACTTTCACATAGCTTCTTATATGTGCTTTAACTAAATGACCTTAGTAAGTAAAATGTTGGCACTTTATACTATATCATGCTATCTTATATTAGGAAAAAGTGTGTCAAGCTTTAATATGTCAGTACATGTAAGAATATTTGAACAGGCCAGGCGCAGTGGCTCAAGCCTGTAATCCTGGCACTTTGGGAGGCAGAGGTGGGTGGATCACGAGGTCAAGAGATCGAGACCATCCTGGTCAACATGGTGAAACCCCGTCTCCACTAAAAAGACAAAATATTAGCTGGGCTTGGTGGCGCGTGCCTGTAATCCCAGCTACTCAGGAGGTTGAGGAAGGAGAATTGCCTGAACCCAGGAGGCGGAGGTTGCAGTGAGCCGAGATCGCACCATTGCACTCCAGCCTGGGTAACAAGAGTGAAACTCCGTCTCAAAAAAAAAAAAAAGAATATTTGAATAGTTCTACTTGTGGACAAAATATGAAAATATTTTCAGTTGTAAAAATTCTGTTACTGCTGTTTTTGCTAAGATAACCATCAAACTGAGTTTATTGTTTGAATGCAGCTTTTGTGTCACATTTTCTAATTCTTTAAAAGTTGTATATCTTAAATAAAGATTACTTAATACCTTTGAGAATTTGATGTTAAAGAAGGAATTAAGTTGTTTAAGGAATGGCGATTGTATTCTTAGTTCTTATCTAGTTCCATCTGTTTATATTTTACAGCTGAAAATAAATATGCAGGAGGGAATCCCGTTTGTGTGCGCCCTACTCCCAAGTGGCAGAAAGGAATTGGAGAATTCTTTAGGAGGTCCTCTAAAGATTCTGAAAAAGAGAATCGTATTCCTGAAGAGGCAGGAAGCAGTGGCTTAGGAAAAGCAAAGAGAAAGTAAGTTTTTATACTCTAGAATATAAAGACAATATTTATCTCACGCCTGTAATCCCAGCACTTTGGAAAGCCAACATGGGGGAATCACTTGAGGCCAGGAGTTTAAGACCAGCCTGGCCAACGTGGTGAAACCCTGTCTCTACTAAAAATACAAAATTAGCTGGGCACAGTGGTGCACAACGGTGGTCTCAGCTACTCAGGAGGCTGAGACAAAAGAATTACTTGGTGCAGTAAACCACCATGCACACATATACCAATGTAACCAGCCTGCACATTCTGCACATGTATCCCATTTTTTTAGAAGAAAAAAATTAAAAAATAATTTCCATGAAAAGAAAGCAAAAAAAACAAAAAGAATCACTTGAACCCGAGAGGCAGAGGTTGCAGTCAACTGAGATTGAGCCACTGCACTGCAGCCTGGGGGACAGAGTGAGACTCCACCTCAGAAAGAAAAATTAATAATTAAAATTAATAAAGAAAATATTTGTCTTGTTGAAAGTAAAGGACAAATAAGATATTGAGTTGTTTCTCTTCAAGCTGATAAGAAAATGCAAAAAAAATTTTTTTAACTCCTACTAATTTCTTATTATAACTCATTCCAAAATTCTTTTTTTTTTCTAAGATGGAGGCTTGATCTGTTGCCCAGGCTGGAGTGTAGTGGCATGATCTTGGCTCACTGCAACCTCCACCTCCCAAGTTCAAGCAATTCTCCTGTCTTAGCCTCCTGAGTAACTGGGATTACAGGCATGTGCCACCACCCCCAGCTAATTTTGTATTTTTAGTAGCGATGGGGTTTCACCATGTTGGCCAGGCTGATCTCGAACTCTTGACCTTGTGATCACCCACCTTGGCCTCCCAAAGTGTTAGGATTACAGGCATGACCGTGCCCAGCCACCAAATTTCAAACATTAGTAAAAAGTATTATTTTTACTCATTCCAGTCTCTCAAAGGGGATCAGTTCCCAGTCACATAAGTGATACATCATTAACTTAGTGTATTGAAGCTTTAACTTTTACTGTCTTTTTCCTTTAGTCTTTTCTTACAAGGCAATTTCCATGTTGGTTTATCTAGCTTGAATTCCATTAATCCTGCCCCTTAAAAAACTACCAGTTCAACTTCCACAAGAAATATATAACCAGGCCAGATGCAGTGGCTCATTCCTGTAATCCTAGCATTTTGGGAGGCTACAGTGTGAGACTCGCTGGATTTGAGGAGTTCCAGACCAGCCTGGGCAACATGAAACCCTGTCTCCACCAAGAGGATAGTGACAACGCCTATAATCCCAGCCACTC